GGATTCATTTTATGTTTCCTTGGTTCACCTAATCAGCTGCATACAACCTATAATCCTTAATGAATAAAAGTCGACGTAAAATTTAACATACTTTTGTCTATCAACAGGCACACCGTAAGAGTTATTATTGTTTCTTATCTAGAGGAACATAAGGCTTCAGCCGAGCACGTCTCCATTGCGTTCGGTTCTCTGCTAGAGTCTTCACATGGCTCCAAGTCTGCCCACATGCTTTCATCTCCTCTTCACATGACCTCCTGCTCCAAGTCACCCTTGCACTGACGACCAACTCGCCACTTCCCTTTCGGAGTTCCACTCGAGCAATGGCTTGTCTAGTGATGTCACTTGATGGTTTCCTCTGAGTATGGCCACCAATCCATCTATCTCCATTTCTTCCTGCCTATTTGTTTCACAATCGGTTCCTGCCGGTTGGTTCGCTCATTGCCAGAAATCTCTGTTTCTGATCTTTTCTAGCCAGCCATTTGATTTTGAGTATTGAGCGAAGACAACTGTTGATGAAGGTCTGTAGTTTCTTTGAAGTGCCCTTCGTGACGCGCTGTAGTAGTAAGTAGCACTGACTTCAAATTGGAGTTGAAAATCCGGATCTTATTTTTGATTCTGAGTGCTGTTGACCACCTCCACACAAACTTGAGAGTAGTGAAAGCTTGTCTTGCTTTTCCGATCCTCGCTTTGATATATCCTCGTCAGTTCTGTCCGCCTGTAGTTGAAACGATGCTTCCCAGATAGGTAGGTAGGTAAAGGAGGTTGTTTCTTTCAGGTTCCTTCCATTTATGCTGATTTTTGTCTGTTGTTGTTGCTGGTGGTGGTGTTGCCCAGGAATCTTCATCACCTACCTCTGTTTTCTCTATGTTCACCTGAAGTCCTATTTTTGATGCTTCTTCTGACAACTTGTTACTTTTCACTTGCATATCTTCCAGTTTGTGGGAAATCAGACATATATCACATTTGCGAAGTCTACATCCTCCAAGTGTTTTGTGTGAGTCCATTTTATGCCTGTTTCCTCATTGACCGCTGTCTGTCACATTATCCAGTCTACTGCAATCAGGAAAATCATTGGAGATAGTAGGCAGCCAGAGCCTTGTCTTACTCCTGTCCTCACTTCGAAGGATTCCGTAAGTTTCCGGTTGTGGATTACTTGGCATGCAGCATTGTCGTACAGCTGTTGGATGAGATGTATAATTGTCGGTGGCACCCGTAGTAGCAAAGTAGTTGCCAAAGCACCTTTCGATCGACGCTGTCGAAGGCCTTTTCAAAGTCGATGAATTTGAGATAGAGAGGTGACTACCATTCCAGGCTTTGTTCAATGATGATCCGTAATGTGGCGATCTGATCAATGCATGACTTGTTTCTCCTGAATCCAGCCTGTTCTGGTCGAAGTTTTTCATCCAGGGTGGCGTGTTTGATTCTCTCCAGGACGATGCGGCTTAGTATTTTGCTTGGGATGGACGGGAGCATAATTCCGCGCTGGTCCTTACATTGACTTAAGTCTCTTTTCTTTGTAGTTTGATTAAGTATCCTTTCTTCCCATCCTCGGGTATATATATATATATCCTGTCAGAGACAAGTTTCTCGAAATTTATTGACAAATTTGTTGTCAGAGCGGTAACAAATATTAGTAACAGTTACATAGTTAGATAAGAGAAGATCAAAATTTAGTGTGCAAGAGGTCAGATGAAAAGATGATGATGTAATATAGTGAGTAGAACTCATAAGGTCAAGAAAAATGATCTCTTATAGAAGCCAAACAGAAAAAAAGAGGCGGAGGAAGGGAAGAGGCGTTGAAAAGACAAGTTAATGAAATCAGAAGACCACAAGTTAATAAGCGATGAGTCACCAGGCTAACTGTAGTCCGACGACAGATTCCCTATGGACACATAGATCAGATTTCAAGCATTTTATCACGATAACCTCAGCAAACTGAAGAAGATTTGAGCTATTTTGTCAGTTAATTATTTTGAATGATCCCAGCGCATCGATTCGGTGTCCTGTGTCTATGGGGTGTTTGCTGATTTAAGAGCTTTAACCGTTTGGCCCCTTTAACCGGAAGCTCTTTGGTACATGTTCGAAGAATCCGATGTAGGCTCTTCTTTCTGAGCTACAGCGAAAGCTATAGAGATTAATAAGAAAAGAAACCTGATCTATATATGTGGACTTCCTTCACTTATCTGGCCGGGAAGCACGGTTTCAACCACAGGCAGTCGGGACGGATGAAGATGTCAAAGCCAAGCAGAGCCGGATAGGCAAGATATGCCTTCATCACTCGAAACCAATTTGGAAATCTTCTGCACTTTACCTCAGTATAAAGCACAAGATTCAGGTTTTCAACACCAATGTCAAGTCGGTCAGTGCTTCTATGAGGGTCAAAAACTCAGCCAACCTGTCACGAAAAGGATTTCCAACAGGCCAGCGCAGACTTTCATCAACAGCTGCCCCCTTTGCTTCATACTCAAGATCAAATGGCCAGAAAGAATAAGTAACAAGAAACTCCGACTGGGAACAAACCAACCAATAACCGATCGCTCAACAAATATGTAGTAGAAAATGGAGATAGATGGGGCATACATTGAGGAAACCATAGAATAACATGGCGCACTCGAGTGGAATCCCAATGGGAAGCGACGAGTGAGTCGTCCTAGGATGACATGGAGAAGATCGTATGAAGAGGAAATGAGAGATTGTGGGCAACCGTAGTCCAAGCTGAAGAGGATAGCAGAAAATAGGACAAAGTGGAGATGTGTTGTTGAAGCCAGCCCTATGTTCCACTCGGAACTCAAGGAAATAATAATATTAATGTGTGCAGAAGAAGTCCATTCATTCTCTCTGTTTACCCTGGCCTACCTACTATAAGGTCAGTAGGGACATAATCATCTCATATTTTCATGCCATATTATGCCTTTCTTATTCCTTTGTCACCTAGTTCACTTTAGTCCATTTTACTATCCTTATTATTATTATTATTATGTGTCAACCTTTTGCAATTTACACTAAGCTCATTATGGCTCTAGTGTTTTATTACTGTTCACAATATGAACTTTTTATTTAATCACTATACTTAATATCTATCAGTCCTTACTTGAACTTACACATTCAGTGTTCCCCACTTTATGGTATTTGTTTGTATGTATTTTATGGTAGTCGCTTCCTCACACACCATTGAACATAACTCATTCCATCCACCCCCCACCCGCAATGAAACTTATATTCTGTTGATTATAAATAACATGATTATAAATACATTGGCATGTCACCCTCTTGTCTATTCACACTTTATCTCATGGTCTGAATGACTACATATTTTTATATACTTTCATTTGACAGTATTAAATAACGAACTATCACTCCATTTTTACATGTACTTCGATTCCCATCCTTGAATCAAGTCAACTTGTCCCGGATCAGCCTAGCGTTGTTGCAACCCAATTATCCATGCATTACGTGTCTATACCCCCTTGTTTAAGGAACTGTGTGTGTGTGTTTTTAAATCGATCCGTTTAGTCAAACAGTTGAACTCATGACCCAATCAGAGTATTTTGTGAACTGTTATTTTTGCTGACCCATGTCTTACTTTGTACTATTCTGTCGAGTTCATCTTATTTATTGATCTTTATCTGTATCAGCCTACCTGGTTAAGTAGCCAATTAAATTCTATCTTTGTGCCTATGGTCTATCTCTTAATCGCTCTCTTTATTTATTTTTTTAAATTTTGATTACAGCTTGATGTCGTATTTTCAGTACAAGTATGGAATTTTCAGCATGGATATCGGTAGCCCAAATTTTGCAGGCCGACCATAGATATCGGGTGTGCGTCGGCAGGGGATCGGACCTCGGACCATGTGCATGGTCGGCAAGAGTCCTGTCCACTGTGCCACCGACGCCCCGCCTTATTTGGGTTCATTCTTCTACTGACTGTTTATCTGAACGGTTGTGTCTGATTCCAGCTAGTTCGCAATTTTGGCTTTAACGTTATTCCGCTCTGATAGCGGTACCTGGCTTTCTGTTAAGCGTTGTGCTTTGTACTCTTGAAACCATTAAGATTTGTTGTATATATATTATTATTGATTTGTTTATTAATAGTACCGGAGAAACAGTGACCGGCTTCTTGTTTGTTCTGGAACGGGATAGCCTTCATCTACGCGTGACTTAATTTCAAGCGATATTACGCCTACAAATATAGTTTCCGATGTAATGTCTATTTGTATTGTAATAATCATGGATTTGTGAGTCGGTGTCACAAAGGTAGAATACCCACCAACCACGCAGGTGGTTTGGAGTTCGATCCCTGGCCAACAGACGCACTCCTCCTTTACCCCGCTAAGCCAGTAAGTAGTAAGACTGTTAAAGAGGGAAGGTTGGGGGGGTGCATGAAGCTGGCTAGCAACCCCATCCTGTAAAAATAAACACCACTACCACCGAATCTTCAAGCCTTTAGCTTGAAGCCCTCAGTTCCACTGGGAACGTAAAGGAATAGAGAAAAATCATGGATTTGTAACTGTAGTGCCTGAAGAGTGCGTCGGTGGCATAGCGGTTAGGACGCTCGCCGATCATGGTCCGGGGTTCGATTCCCGGCCGGCGCACTCCTTTACCGTGCTGAGCCAGAATTAAAAAGCTGGTGAAGAGGAAAGGTTGGGCATGAGGCTAGCAACCTCATCCTGTAAAAATAAACACTGCTACAGAAACTGAAAGTCACTAGCTTGAAGCCCTATGTTCCACTTGGAACGTGAAGGAATTAAAAAAAAGAGCCTGGAGAAGAATTTATCTAAAACAATTGGTCGCTTAAAATCATCTTGTTCTGACAATAGTAATAATAATGTAGAACAGCGGCTGCTGAATACGACGTGGTATTCTATAGAAATGACTTTTAATTCAGAGTATAGCAGGCACTGATGACCACAAATACGTGCAACCTAGAAAAAATTAATGGCTAATTTAACACTGAGTGATCAAAGAAAATATTCAGCATATATACGCATATCACCACTTACCCGTTCCAATAAACTTATTGTCTTCTCCAAAGCTCCCTCTGGACGTCCAAATGGGAAACAATAACGGAATTCAGTAATCTGTTTCTCCAACAGTGTTGTTAATCTAGCCTTAATAACCTGGAATTGATCACGTTCCACTGCTAGTACTGTATGTACAGCTTGATCGTGTTGACTTGAAGATAAAGTTGAAAAAAAAGGATTAAGGGAAAATATATATTTTCTTTGATTATGAAGATGGGCTCGATAAAAGAAAAAATAAAGACAAAAACAATCCCTGATGACTTGATATCGATGTTCGAAGCCTCATTAATAATAAAGAAGATAGGCACAGTGTCGCCTTACTCATCATGAGATGACACCGATTAGAGAGCTATTGGAAAATCATCAAAGAGTCCTGAATAGCTATTATGTTCTAGTTAGGGATTCTTCAGCACTCTTCACCAGTGGAGTACACCAAGCCAAGTAAGAGAAGTTGGAATTCATGGGGCATTTGGTTCAGTCCAAGTGGCTGAAGAGCTTGCGAGCTCGCCTTGTGACCCTGAGGTCCTGGATTCGGACCCCAGTGAGTGCTTACTGATGGGGACACCCAAACTAGGACGAAAAATGTTTTATTACGTACTACCTGATCTTACAGGTGTCCTCTAACTGATGCCACCTCGTGTCTTTTTGGTAAATGGATGAATACGCCTGATGCTGTGTCCCACACACTTCGGTAAAATTAATGCTTGACATGGTTCTATGCCTCTGGAGATGCCAATGTGTGAATCTCGACCCACCTACTTCAGGTTGAACGAAGCGGTAGTATCACCAGACTTTAAACAATATATGAGGCTCATAATCTTATAGACGAAAAATATATTCCGGATAAGTGTATTCCAAGCTTATGACTAACCATCAGTAAGCTACACCTAGAACAGCGTCTGTCAGTATGGTATGTGCTTTGCGCCGGCTAAATTACAGTACTGTTACAAGATTGGTAGGAGCCTGTACCTGCGCTCACTCTTGCTTGCAGGTGAACCGCTTGAAGTTGTTGATAAGTTTGTGTATCTGGGTAGTTGTGTGAGTGCGCTGGCGGAGGAGTGATGGATGAGATTTCCAACCGTATAATGGAAGCTAGTGTGGCATACGTTAATTTCAGCCACCTCTGGCGCCGTCGCGACGTTAGCCTGGCTGTCAAAGGTTGGTGGGCTGTCTTACTCTTTGCTTGTGAAACCTGGCCTCTCTGAGCTGAGGATGTGCAACAGCTCTGCGTATTCGATCATCGCTCTCTTCACAGGATTGCTTGCGTTTGGTGGCATCATCGAGTGAGGTTCGACAGCATGTGTTTGGACACAGTGGAGATAACCAACCACTCGTTGAGTACCATCATCTGGAAATACCAGCATCGATGGCTTGAAGATGTGCTACGAATATTATCCCAGAGGCTTCCATAAAGGTCTCCTTTTGCTAGCCTTGGGACGAGATGGAAAAGACTCATTATCTGTAATGTAGGTACATCCAGTTGACGAGCACTTCGGTTTAAGCAATCAACGCGAAAATCTAAACGCCAAAGCATTATCCACTAGATCACTTGGGCCACGAAAGCCACCACATCTCGTGCAACCGGGCACTGGGTTCGAGCCTAGGTAGGGAACATTATCACCCACTTAGTGGAGAATGCAGGTATATCCACTAGCTGACGAGTCCCAGATAGAGAACGAAATGCGCATCCTGGTTGATTCCACTGCCCTCATACTTCGCTAACATCAACAAATTTTAAGCTCACGAGGAAATATAATCAAAATAGTCCCATATATATATATATATATATATATATATACATGTTCAAATAACGAAATCATAAAAGAATAACTGAATTATGTTTCTCCAATGCAGACTTACGCTTTCCCACTGACATGATTAGCACACAAGGCATAACTGATATGAATTAGATCAGGATCTATACTCATACCATTTTCTATTTTATTCAGCAGATTAATTAACATGGCTAAATGACGTTGACATTCACGTATCCCATAACGTGTACAATATTCATCTAACAGATGACGTTGTATTGGACTTAGACAACCAAGTGAGACAAATGGATCCTTATAAAAACAAAAATCAAATTAAATATAAACAGAACAGAATAAGTGACCAATGATTGAATATAAAACACACACACACACGCACACACTAACAAGGAGTTTTCAAGAGTCTTGGTTCCCAGTTAGATCACAAACTAAAACCACTTAGAGAATTACTACGAACCAAAGAATACTGACCAGTTGTTTCGTCCTAGCTTGAGTCTCTTCCGATGCTCACAACCAATACAGTTACCTGGGGTTCCAGTGGGAAGTCGTGACCAGTAGGGTGCAGCAGGTCGGGTGTGAGGACAAATACTTGCCGAAGACATTGGCTAGCGGTTGCGCTATATCATGAATTGGCAGAAGTTAGAATTCATGGGCCATTGGATCGGGTCCCAGTGGCTTAATGGTATACGAGCTCGCCTTGTAACCAGGAGGTCCTGGGTTCGAACCCCGATGGGTGCGTACTGATGAAGATTCCCAAACTAGGACGAAACAGCTGTCCAGTACTCCTAGGTTTTCCAATGGTTCTCTAACCAATGTCAGCTCATGATGAAATCCTGTAACCAATACAGACCCTATTAAAGTTAGAATGCAGAACCTTCAGGTTACGAGGTGAAAGCATTCAGACATTGGGACAGGATCCTAAGGCCCATAAATGTTACATTCAGTGGTTCCAGGGGATTCTCTAACTGATCTAACTGGTCATTGGGAGCTATTTGATCTCTACTAAAATGGTTTGAATGGCTGGTAGACAATAGACGTATGACTAACCATGAGTTCTGGAACTGGAGTGAAACAGTTAGCCCTACTTCTGACTTCAGTTACCAATAATTCGTGATAAAAGCTACTCAATGAATGTAATCATTCTTGTATGCTGATATATATAGAACTTATTTTGTACATGTCAGTTTTACATGTCTGTTTGTATTTCTCTCACCCCCCCCTTATTGATTTATGTCCTGATTTTCTCTCATGCTACTTTTGATAGTTGGAATCCTATTGGTTATTCACCGTCTTAATTTATCAATGACATTAGTGCCTCTCAAGGTCATTTTAATCATATATGTACGCAAGCGCTGTCAGCCTTTTTGGCTGTTGTTTCGAGACAGTAAAGAGCTCTCTTACCAACATCTAGTATTTTCTTCTGTCTACAAGGCCCGGCGGTGTTGTTGTTCTTGTTGTCAAGTGATTAGGACTGATTAGCCAGCGCACTAAGTTAGCATTCGCTAATAGTCTGCTAGGTTGTAGTTCCGATGATAACAGATGCAAATGAATGCGTGTTTCATCAGAAAACCTCCTTTTTTATCAAAGGACATTTGTTCGAGTACAATTCCATTGTGGGTAAAATTTATTTTGATAAAGTCTCACAGTGTTATACAGTAATAACTTACTGATGACCACGTTTCGAGCACAATTTATTGCTCAGTAAATATTACTGTATAACACTGTGAGACTTTATCAAAATAAATTTTACCCACAATGGAATTGTACTCTATTGATATTCCAACCTAAAATTGAGAGCTACTTTTATCACATATGAGAGAAAGGTATCCTCTGTAACACTTTTATACAGCTTTTATGCATTATTTCATAAATATATATGTATTCCATACACAAAAATGCTTACTTCATGTGATTGGTGCGGTCGAGGTCATTCGCTGATTGGTGGTAGTTGATGATGCTTGAAGTTTAACTTTGCCGTCAACCTAACTGCATATATATATATATATATATATATATATATATATGCAGAGTTCCTGTCTAGCATTTTGACTGTTGTTTGAGACCGTAAAAGCTCTCTTATCGACGTCCAGCCTTTTCTTATGTTTTCGCGTGCCAGCGGTGTTATTGTTGTTACACTAGTTACTGACTAGTGTGCAATCAAAATTATCCAATACAGTCCAACAGGAGGTCAGTTGCGAGCCTGAATAGCTCAGTGTTATCGTCTCTGACTGCAGCACTGGGTGACGCGGTTTCGAATCTCAGAACAGACATGAGCTCCTTCAAGGTTGCAGACACGTCATGCTGATGAGTGCCAACTAGCACGAAACCTAGGTCCAAGGCTTCCTGTGGTCGATTGCCTCCAACCATCTATTACCAACAATTGTTGTTGCCATTGACGTAAGATTAGGATAGATTAGCCAGCGCATTAAGTTAATATTAGTTCAGTCATAACAGTGTTGTTGTAACAAGTCATACCATATATATATATATATATATATTTGAACTTACCGTTAAACGATAGTCTAAGCTTAAAGATTGTAGAAGAGCAAAATATTCTAAATGATCAAGTGTATGAACTGGTGTTGAAGCATATTCTTCAATCTTTTTCATTTGACTAGTTTCTACTTCAGCAGTACCTATTAGAAATTGAAAAAAAAAGATATATAATGAACAGCATTGATTTCAATATCAATTGTCAATTGTTATTTATACTTAAAGTGAAATTGTTTTAATGGTTGCTAGGACAAACGAGCGCTTCATTTAAACTTGAGAAGAAATGATTCTATATATACAGATGAAGTATATAAGTAACAACAAAATCCCGAAAAAGGTGTACTGAATTACTTCAAAGACTTAGTGTATCACCAGAAGCAAATCCAACAGGCTGCCGCAGATCTTTATCAACACCTGCCAACTTCGTTGCATAGTGAAAATCACATGACCAGGCCGGGAAGAACAGATTAGCAATTAGGAACTCTGGGAAAGAACCAACCAACAAATTACTGATCACAGGGTTTCATCATGAGCTGACATTAGTTAGAGAACCATTGGAAAACCTGGGAGTACTGGACAACTGTTTCGTCCTAGTTTGGGACTCCTCATCAGTACGCACCCACTGATCACAAATATACTGGAAGAAATACAGATGGATTGGATTTACCCTAAAATAAATGAATGAATGACATCACGAACCAGAATTTAGAGTGAGACCAGAATGGGAAACGACGAGTTAGGCGTGGGTTTAATGGTGTAATGGAGGAGGTTAGGTGCAGAAAAAAAGGAAAGCCTATGAGCAGTCATGGAGTTAGCTTGAAAAAAGGACTTCAGAGAACTGGACCAAATTGAGATGTACTGCCAAAGCCCCATATTTTGATGGGAACCCAAGGGAATAATAATAATGATAATAATCTACTAAAGACTTGATGATATGCTTTGACCGAGCGATCTACTAAGTCTGACCAACAGGAAGTTACTATCCGATGACATACATTAACTGACACAAGATAGGGATAATTTATTATTATTATTATTGTTCCCTTGGGTTCCTAGTGGAACATACTGCTTCAACTGCACGTCTCCACTTGCTTCTGTCTACTGCTGTACTTTTCACTTGCATCCATGTTAGCCCATACTGTTTCAACTCCTCTTCACACGATCTCCTCCATGTCACCCTTGGACGTACCACTCGCCGCTTCCCTTTCGGGTTCCACTCGAGCGTTGGCCTGACGCGCGATGTCACCCAGCCGCCTCCTCAGCGAGTGAGTGTCCGAACCATCTCCACTTTCTCCTGCATATTTGTTGAGCGATTGGTTCTTGTTTTGTTTGTTCCCATAGTTTGTTTCTTGTTGGTGATTCTTTCCGGCGGCCATCTGACCTTCAGTATAGAGCCAGCGAAGACAGTTGTTGATAAAGGTCTGCAACAGGCTGTTGGAAATATTCTTTGTGACACACTGGCCAAGTTTCTGATCCATCCGTATAGAAGAACTGACTGACTTGACGTTTGTATTGAAAATCCGAATTTTGTTGTTGATGCTGTGTTGAGTGACGAAGATTTCCAGATTGGTTTCAGGTTGATGAATGTGTTTCTCGCCTTCCCGATTCTCGATGGGGATCATAAGTCTTCGTATTCCAACTTATTAGCTGATTGAGCAATGACAATGTTGCCCATGTAAATTGAAGAGTTCATAACCAGAATGCAGCAGTGATCCAGTGTCCCCTGGTTGCCAAATCCCCTTTAACAAATGCTGATTCATGAAAAAGAAACCCTGTGTTGATAAACGGCTATAGTGTTTACCTATCCTCGTCACTGTAACCTCAATATGTAAGTAAGGTACGCAGATACATTAGGAAATTCGCCTTAAGTATCTTGCTTAGCTTACTGTCCAACATGTCCTTAAATAGCTTGACAATATGCCGACTGTGATCGAGCTAAAATAATGAGTTGACAGATGTAAGGAACTATGGACCACTGGATTCCAGCCAGACCAAGTGGCTGGATGGTCGACGCAATCACATTTTATCCTGCAGGCTCTAGGTTCGATCTCCAGTGGGGGTGGTGAGTGCATACTACTGAAGAGTCCCAAACCAGGGCGAAGCAACTGTCCACCAGTATCCCTTGATGGTTTTCAGTGGTTCACTGTCACTGACATCAATCCATGACCAGACTTGAGACAAATCAAATTCCAACATGCTAACTATTGGAAACTAACTGGAGGATAGTAAAACTGAGGCCTCCTCCCCACTGTGTGTACTAAAATTAGCTTATTCCTTCTCTTTACCTACCTTGGTAATCCTTATCTGATTACATTATATCAAGGATAGTGTCGGTTATTATCCTTCTTCTTTCCAAGTTCCTTGAATGCCGAGTAGAAGATAGGGATACATGCTTTTTTTAGAAGCTTCAGTAGCACCGTTTACTATTTTACACTAGGCCTTCCCTCTCTTCCGTGCTTATTATCAGCTAGCAAAATGAGTGAGGTTTAGGTGTAGGTGGGTTGGGAATCGAACTCAGGTCAAATGCTTGGTTGGCTAGGATTCCACCAGGAGGAATTTGATTCCTTCAGAAACACTCTAATCGAATATGTCTATCCATCCCCAGTCATCGACAAATATCTGAAGAGAAAGACCGATACTCCACAAGACTAGGATGTACTGAAGAAACAATTAGTTGTAAAATTTACAATTCAAGGGAAATACATTCAGTTAGGTTCTCTGTAGCCATCTACCTGTAGACAGTAGTTTGCGCCAATGAACAGTTGTCAGCATGACTGTCGAAAGAAGAATACAAAACAAAACAATCAACTGCTCCATTCTGAAGTGCATCATTACTTATGGTCACAGAGAATCAGCACAGAGACGTTCAGAGTCATTCCTGAGGTAAGATCAGTCTGTTGCAAAGGATTCCACCTATATCTTCGTCATGCAGTCGAAACTTTAGCAAATCATAAGGAAAATCCTGAACTTTGTATTCAGAAACGATCTATCCAGTCTCTTTTACTGCCATGGAGTTATTGTCAAACCATACTCTTTTGGATTGTTGTTGTATATAGTAGTGCTTTTGATTATTAGGAGTTTATTTTTGTAGTCCAGTTTCAATCATTTCTTCTCTTGTTTCCATTCAATTATATTTTTAAATGACTACTCATCATTGAACTAATTAGTGTTAAACCCTATCAATGCTCACTGGTGACCTGCTAAAAGACAGAGTTCCTTCGAGTTTTAGTGAGAACTCATGACCAGTGAAGTTCATCTAGTCAGCAGTGAGTATGGACTTCCTGCCGATGATATTGGTTGGTGCCAGTCACGCTAAATCACGAATTCGCGAAAAATACGCATTAAGACAGTGAAATAAGAACAAATTAGTTCAGCGAAGAGTCTCTTTTCGGCGAATTCATTCACTTAGCTGTACAGTCGCAAATATATACAATTAATTTTGTGTTAGTGTGTGTACATTAGGTTGGTCAAAATCAAAATAACAATTAGTGTGGGTTGTTGATTACATCATCAAAATAATTAAGAAATTAAAATGTGTGATTAATAATCAAAGTTGTGACTAAGTGGGGTGAAGATTGGTAAGATGTGAGTAGAGTTACGTAATATAGACATGTTTAGAAAGATTAGATATTAGTGAAGGAGTATGGAGACAATTATGAAAATAAACTAGATAATAGGTGAAAAGATTGAATGGGTTAGTTACTAAAAATTATTATACGAAAATTGCAAAAAAATTTGATAACAAAATGTTGATGACAGATAAACTTGAAATTAAACCCACGGTAGTAGGAGGGGGTGGAGAAGGTTCTTCTGTGTGCATAAATCAGGCTTTTCTATCCAATTCGCTAAGGCTTCGGCAATACAAAGTACACGGAAGCTTGTCGATTTTGGAAGGCTTCTTTTGACTTTATAGATGACTTTGAACGACTTCTCCTTGCAAATCGAATGACCAATGTTGAGAATATGCTCAATAATGGCGCTCCTTATTGCTTCATTGTTACCTTTCTGTAGCCAGGCGGGATAGTGTTCTTGAACTCTTTTAGATAAAACTCGCATCGAACGACCTATATACCTCGCTCCGCAAGAGCAGGTGAATTGGTAGATACACATGGAAGTGGTCAAATGCGACAGTTTATCTTTGGAGTAGTTGAAGAACAATGAAGAAAATAAAAGACGGATTCAGCGAAGAAAATTTTCTTTATCGACGAAATCATCTTCAGAGGCTGTACAATCGTATTTATACTTACAAAAATATATAGTGGTCTATTATTGAGTAATAGGGGGTGACATAATTGATATAATTACTCAGATCATCTACAAAGTGAAGCCAAATGGTACAAAGGGCGTCAGGTTTCGGCTTTTGTGTATGGCGGAGGCTCTAGCAATTCATCAATACAACCCTGAACTCTGTATACAGAAAAAGTTTGTCCAGTCTCTTATTCTACCTTGGTCTTAACCTCTTCACTAACCGTTCCTCGTAAATGAAATATTTTTTGATTTTTTCTTTTCATTCTACTTTCACTTTTAGTTAGCTTTTGCTTCAATAATTAATTCGCTATTATCACTCTCATATGCTCCTTTTGTATATTTTCACACCCTCTTCACACTTGTTAAATTGACACTCAAATACCTTTATTCTCACTTAATAGCAATTTTAACCTTATCAAATTTCTATCTTTGTTCCGTTGAGTACCACGTAATTTTCAACTTCTAATTTTCACTTCTAAAGCCACTTCTGAGTAATTATATCAATTATGTCACCCCCTATTACTCAATAATAGACCACTATATATTTTTGTAAGTATAAATACGATTGTACAGCCTCTGAAGATGATTTCGTCGATAAAGAAAATTTTCTTCGCTGAATCCGTCTTTTATTTTCTTCATGACTCAATGGGTATTTTCGGTGATTTGAAGAACAATGGCCGGGAGGAAAATGTCAGTCGTAGTGTGGCAGCGAAGAATGTCCTTCTGAAGGGAGTAGATATCCTCTTCTTCAAGGTGTCAGCCAGAAGGTCACCTTTGAAGGGTACATTCATGTAGACCATCTTCTTCTGCACTGTAATGGGTTGTTCTTTGTAAGTCTTAAGCTTGATATGCTTGTCTATAAAACGAGGTGGGTAGCCATTCTCGAGCAGTGTCTTCCTTAAGAAGGCGATCCCTTCCTCTATTGATTCAGAACATCAACGAATTGGTAAAAGTTAGAATTCATGGGCCATTGAATCGGGACCCATTAGCTCAACAGTCTACGAGCTCACCAGCCTTGTAACCGAAAGCTCCTGGGTTCGAACCCTGTCGATGGGTGCCTACTGCCAATGAGTCCCAAACTAGGTTGACGAAACATCCATCCAGTACTCCCTGGCTGGCTTTCAATGGTTTTCTAACTGATATCAAATTCTTACAAATCAGTTCTTGAAAAACTTATTAATTACGTAAAATTATTCATAATTTTTCAAAGATTGTTCTTGGTCATATATACTTTGATTTATCCTGTTACTAACTGGCAATAACTTGTGTGACTTCCGTTGTCAGTTAAAATTTTACATACATATAACCCCCTCCTGAACAACTGTACAACTTTGAAGTGAAGTTATTAAAAGTTGTCTCTTTGGTGCTAACTGTTGTTATCGTTAAGAACATCGCTATTATTTACCAGATGTGTAATCTTCGTGCAAACTACCAAAAATAATGCTACAAGACAGAACACGGCTTATTGGAGTTGATACAGCCTTAAAAAACGTATGGAACTCAATTTATGTGTTCAGAAAGAAGAAGCAGTTATAAGTCTCTCCTTGCGCTGCCCTGGTAACTGGATGATTTGCAATTAATAGTGTTCTCTGAGCTGGTTGGTTTAGTTGCGGAGCTTCCGTCGTCCTTCTGGACAACATCTTCAGCTCAATACTGAGCATAAAGTGAAATGATTTAAATTTCTTCATGAGTGATAGAATTGCGTCTCCCGGTAACCATCTTTACATATGTATTGACCTATTTTCTATTGACTTGGATTTTAAACTTTCTGGTCACCTGATTTACTTCTTACTAGTTGGAATATCTCATCAGGCTTTTAGGAATTCCCTGACTGCACTCTTGGTAATTCCTCTGTTCAAGATTTTGACATTATCCCAATCAAACTAATGACCACAATTGTCTATATGCATTGATACTAAAGAATACATATCGTGTCTTTTCACGGCTGATTTGTGTGTGTTCTTGGATTCTAATTAGGAGGGGACGCCCACTTTGGCCGATGTAATGCTTGTTGCAGTTCATAAAATTTATTTTGTAAATGGTATTAATTTTATCCCCTTTTACTGTTGGATCTTTCGGTTCGCATAATATCGAATTAAGCAATTGAACTGGCTTGTGGGCTGTATCTATATCAAACGGTTTCAGTATTCTAGCTGTTATTTCAGAGATATTCCTCATGTATGATAGGATGAATTTTCTTGTGTTCTTTGATGATGGTTCTTTGTTAGTGTTTTGATTCGATTTTAAACACTTTTTGATGAAATGTTGTGGATAACCATTCTTTTTGAAGACCGTTTGTAGGTACTTTTCTTCCATTCTTTTCAACTCTGGAGTGCTACAGTGTGTTTGAACTCTTTTAAATAATGTCTGCACACAGTTTCGTTTGTGAGTAATTGGATTATTGCTAGTATAGTTGAGTATTTGATCTGTGTGCGTTGATTTTCTATATACTTGTGTTTCTAAATCTCCTGTGTTGGTTCTCCTGATTAAGACATCTAAAAATGGGATTTTGTTATGTAATTCTTCTTCTCTTGTGAATTTGATGTCTTCAAATATGTTGTTCATTAATTTATGGGTATATTCTAAATAATTTCTCTTAATTATTACAAATGTATGATCAACGTAACGTATCCAGATTTTCGGTTTAATTATAGGTAGAGCTATTAATTCTAATCTTTGCATAACGGCTTCAGCTATTAATCGTGATATGGGCGATCCCATTGGTTCTTTATGGTTCACTTTATGCTAAATATTGCGCTGAAGATGTTGTCCAGAAGGACGACGAAAGCTCCGCAACTAAACCAACCAGCTCAGAGAACACTGTTAATTTCAAAACTGGATGACCTGATTCTCTCTTTCTTTTGATTACGCAATTTTTGGCTCTAAACTCACCACCCTCACCTTTGATATAGTGTAATTCTGCTTGTTTCTTGTTTCCATGATTTGAGTTGAACTCAGTACATTGTTACCTAATTTACTAGTCACTCATCATCTTACACTTCTCTCACCTTTATTACGTAACTCCCTTACCATTCTATGCATACATTTATTTGGTTTAAACCTGAACTGCCTGTGTAAGAACCATATATGCGTAATTTTCTGAGCACTGTTCACTAAGTCCGGAACCTCCAGTAAACAGACATCAAATGAAATTTGCAAAGATGTTGAAACTTTTCTGCTCATGAACATATGAATTTATTTAGGCTGTAAGCAGCTGAGCTGATGAGAAGTCAACGAAATAAGCTGATGGTAACTTTGATGGTACCATATTATTCTGAACAAACCACTGCTGTTCTTCCTTTATTGAAATTTATAAAGAACTTTGCACAGATGTGCAGCAGTTCGAGGAGCCCCACCCCACTTAGCACGCAATCAAGCGAAGAAAATAAAAAGAGATCCAAAATGAAGATATAAGGCAAAAAGAATAGTAATATGCAAGAACAAGAGAATTCTATCGGATATGATAAATCACAAAGAGTGAATGGATCTGCACCAAACATTGAGAACGAAGATTTCGAGCTCTCTCTCTCTCTACGTGGCTGGCTAAAACTAACTGTTGTGGACTTCACTGACTGATGAAGACATATTTTGGTTTGACCGCAACTACCTCTTTTCCAACCTGATCCTGTGTCAGATAACATTGTCCGTCGATTGAGGAAGGCGATGGTTGGACAGGTATCGGAGTAACTTCACAGCCTCGTCTATTTATTTCCCCTCCTTACCTAGCACTGAACCGATGCCTTACCTCAATATTGCTCACCCTATTATACCACTTCACATGGAAGATAGAACGCAGGAGAATAAATGTATAAAACATAAATTATGGAAAACACAACTTACCCTTGCCTTGATCATTTGTTAGCGCTGTACTACTAGCCGCTCCTGGCGCCGTAGGTTTATGCGTTTGACCAGTAGCCCTATACAGTGCTTGGATCCAATTCTGTCGGTCGATTTCAGTAGATGATGCTACAATCAGCGTATCACCTTCTCGAACAAGTTTAAAGAAAAATCTCGGTGTATAATCACATTCTAGACCACCAAGTGGACCACTGCCCACATTTCTCTGACTGCCCATACGTGCCAGTGTACTAAATCGAAGTCGTGATAATGACGTTAACGAGGATGTTGATGCATGATGATCTGGTTTACCATTTCGACCAAATGTAGCCAGACTTATTAAATCTGATTTGGAAAATATGATAATAGTAATAATAATAATAATATTAGCAATCACTTTATTCCAAACTATGACTGAATAGGTTACAGGACTTGATCATGAGCTGACATCGGTTAGAGAACCATTGGAAAGCCACCTGGGAGTACTGGACTGCTGTTCCGTCTCACTTTGAGACTCCTCATCAATACGCACCCACCGGTGTTCGAACTCCGGTACTCACTAGCAACTGACCCTATTCAGCTAGGTAGTTACCTGGGACCCTAGCAAGAAGTAGGGTGCAGCAGGTAGGGTGTGAGGACAAATACTCTCCGGAGACGTTGGCTAGCGGTCGCGCTATGTCGTGAATTGTCAGAAGTTAGAATTCACGGTTTGACCACTGAGAAGTCGGGTCCCAGTGGCCTAATGGTCTACGGGCTAGCTTGCCTTGTAACCAGAAGATCTTGGGTTCGGACTCCGGTGGGTGCGTACTGATTGAGAGTCCCAAATAAGGCCGACGAAACAGCTCTCCAGTACTCCCTGCAAGTTTTCTGATGGTCCTCTAAGTGATGTCAGCTCATGATGAAATTCTCCAACCAATCAAACAAAATCCCTACAGACCAATACTTGCATATGATTGAATACAAAATGAAATTACCAGAAATTCCATATTGTAACACAATAGCCGTTTATTACAAAAAATCAAATAAAAAGAACTAACTAACCATCAAAGCTACAGATTGTACCGAGTAATTTTTAGGAACAGTCATTTCATTTGCTGTTGTACGCTTCATTGTTTCTTGACATCCACTGTAGTTTTTTGACTAGACACTAGGCAGTGACTGATATAATGCGTCTGGTCGTTCGTTTGATAGTAATTGAATTCTGTCAGTCTTTGATCTCAGAAGGGACATGAATTCCTTCAAGAATGCAAATACATCAACAAATACGAGATCCTAGTCAAGCAACGCTTCATGCCGATTGCCTCCATCTATTTAACAACTACTCAGAATGCAGCGCGCGCGATAGCGAGATAACACTAGCATTTGGACTACACTGAAAACTTGACTGACAGAATTCCGTCTCCACGAACACCCAAGGACTAGACGCATGAAACTAGTTATTACCTAAAGTCCAGTCAAAGTGTGCAATACAATCCTACAGGAGGTCAATTACCAGCCGAAATAGTACAATGTTAACGCATGTGACTGCAACACTGGATGACGCACACGGGTTTGAATGTCAGAAACGAAAAAAGTCTTCTGAAGAATGAGAAAACTCCTTGCCGACTGACTGGTGAGTGCCAGCAAGCGCAAAACCTAGGCTGAATGGCTTCCTGGCGACTACTTTCAACCATCTGATAACAATTGAGTTATTTTCTCTCAGATGTATGGCGGACACGAAAGCTAATAGGTCCAAATGTTTGATAGAGGAGGATGTACAGCTCCAATTTTGAGTAAACCGCCAGTACATTTATATCACTAAAGCACATAATAATCACTTGTTAAAACACCTATTCTGAATTCCAATGACCAATGGTGGGACAAAGGGCCTCAAGCTTTCAGCTTTGAAATTTCAGTAGCGGCTGTGCTGTCATCTTTCTTGTCATGGGGCTGCTAGTCTCAGACCCAATCTTCCATTTTTACCGGATGTGTTCAAACAAATATCCAGTTTAATTTCAGTTATTAGATTTCGTCACTAACCAGACAGACAGATCATTCTAAACCAGGGAACATTGAACAGCCAACTGTTTTGTCCTATTTTGCGACTCTTCAACAATAGGCGTCCACGATCCCATCAGGGATTGAACCCCGAATCTTCACGTTACAAGACCAAGCTTGATGACCATTCAGACACTTTGGAGCCGAATACAATGATCTGGTTTTCAATGATCTCTACAAATGATGTTGGTTTTTTTTAAAAAAATCTAACCCAAATTCCCATTACAAGGCTACTGAATGGAAGTAGTGAGGCTTTAGTGAGAAGTCGTGGCCAGTGGGGTTCACCATGTCAAGGAAGAGGTGAACACTCATTGAAAACATTGATGAGGGTAGTACTGTGGTGAGAGCTGGCTGCTAGCCAAAGTTGGTAGACAGTAATTGACGTCAATGTTTATGTCCCCAATATTGGTGGTGAGAAAATGAGAACAAAGGCATTGCGTAGGCGGATACAGTTAGCATATAGATGAACTGACACAGCCACAAGAGATGCAAGGTCAACTTTGTGTGAGAAACAACCACCAATCAAAAGACTGTATTTTCTACTAACAATAATCTACAATAATGTACATTAAAATCTATAAATATGTGTTGATTATCCTTAATAAACGATCTGTCTGGCCTGGCCCTTGTCTTTTGTACAGACAATCACAAACTGACCGAGTTCGAATTCACAAGTGACTGAATGGTTAACGAGCTAGATTTAGTGATCTGAAGAAGTCTCTGGTAGGGTAGTGGATAACTAACAAGATACTACAGACTACTTACCTGCTCTTGGTTCACAATAGTCTACAGTGAATCCATCCAGGATAATCGACTCAGACGGTTGAGTTTTCTGTTCAGCATAAGCTGCCAGCATTGACGTGTACTGAGATATCTTAAGTGTGTGTTGTGTTTAGAAAATTAAAAGAAAATTTAAAAACAACAACAACAATGGCAATAACACAGAAATGAATTAAGAAATTAAACGTATCAGACAAGAAAAATTCATTAGATAAAAAGCAGGTCACTCATTGATTCATTCATCTCACGATGTCACACACACAAAAAGAAAGAATTAAAACACTTACACAGACAGGCAATTATGAAAAATTTAATTGAAATAAGATAAGGTGAATTCGTTTATTCTTTCTTTATACTACTACACTACATACTGGTTTGCCTCAGTTTCAGTTACCTACAACCTATAAAGGAGAAGGAAAAAACACACACGCGGTCGGTAATCAACGTGACATAACCTTGAGGGATGATACTGAATATATACACAACCAGTTCATTTTAGAAGTAGAAGAGCTGAATAACCCACACACACACACACACACATGTCAAAAGGAGAAATGGAGACAAGAGAGATGATAAAATGTACAGGAAGTGAGAACAATCAATGATGACGAAAACGGAGACATTATATATATGTATATTTTTTTTGTAAAGAGAAGAATTTTATATAATTTCAAGGTAATTCACGCATACATAACTGGTGATGGTTACGTAACCGTGTGAAAGATTTTTTGATACTTTGCTTAAACATAGGAAGTGAAGTGGTTAGTAGAGCTTAATGACGAATTCACCTATATACTTAGGAAGTTATACGAGTCCCAATGGCGGTGGAATGTTAGCCAACCATGCAGGTAGTTTGGGGTTTCGATGCCCGGCCAACGCACTCCTTTATCTCTCTAACCAGTAATAAGACTGGTAAAGAGGGAAGGTTGGGTATGTATTATAAATGAAGCAAGAAAATTGTGTGAGTACCTTGATGCCACAATGACCAGTAATTTTCGCAAGTCATGTTCTGACCAAATTGCAACTCTGCGCATCATCATCACAGAACAAAGCAATCAAATCTCTACCTCAACTTTAGAGACTTTGAGAAGGCCTTCGACAGCGTTGACCGCGAAGTAATTTGGAAACTACTCGACTACTACGGCGTACCCCAAATATTCATCAACCTTATTCAACAACTGTACGACAACGACACATGTCAAGTGATCCACAACGGAAAACTCAGCGAGGCTTTTGGAGTAAACACAGGAGTCAGACAAGGGTGCTTATTATCACCAATGATATTCCCAATTGTGGTGGACTGGACTGGATTATGCGTCAGACAGTGGGAAACGAGAAGACAGGGATATCCTGTCCTGACCGACGTGAAGAACCTAGAAGACCTGGATTTCGCGGATGATTTATGTTTGATGTCACACAAAATCGAAGACTTACAAGCGAAAACCGACAAACTGGTTGAAGAAGCAGGCAGTGAAGACAGGACTCCAGGTGAACATAGACAAGACGGAGGTTATGAACATAACCAAAAAACAACAACAGCAGCTGCAACATCCAGCTCCAATCACCATCAACGGGAGGGATTTGAAAGAGGTTACTTCATTCACCTATCTAAGGAGCATTGTCTCAACTACAGGAGGAACCGACGAGGATGTCAAATCGAGAATCGGTAAGGCGAGAAACACATTCATCAACCTGAAACCAATCTGGAAATCTCCGTCACTCAACTCAGCATCAACAACAAAATTCAGATTTTCAATACAAACGTCAAGTCAGTTCTTCTATACGGATCAGAAACTTGGCGGGTCACAAAAAGAATATTCCAACAGGTGTCAGACCTTTATCAACAACAGTTGTCTTCGCTCCATACTACTGAAGATCAGATGGCCAGACAGAATCACCAACAAGAAACTATGGGAACAAACAAAACAAGAACCAATCACCCAACAAATATGCAGGAGAAAGTGGAGATGGATTGGACACTCGCTGAGGAGGCCGTTGGGTGACATCCCGCGTCAGGCCATTGCTCGAGTGGAACCCGAAAAGGAAGCAACGAGTGGGAAGTCAGTGCTAGGGTGACATGGAGGAGATCGTGTGAAGAGGAGTTGAAGCAGTATGGACTAATATGGATGCAGGTGAAAAGTACAGCAGAAGACAGAAGCAAGTGGAGACGTGTAGTTGAAGCCCTACATTCTACTAGGAACCCAAGGGAACAATAATAGTAATGATAATGAAGAATTCACCTATTTAGGAAGTTATACGAGTCCCAATGGCGGTGGAATGTTCGCCAACTATGCAGGTAGTTTGGGGTTTCGATCCCCGACCAACGCACTCCTTTATCTCTCTAACCAGTAAGTAATAAGACTGGTAAAGATGGAAGGTTGGCTATATATTATAAATGAAGCAAGAAAGTTGTGTGAGTGCCTTGATATGATTGTGACCAGTAATTTGTGCTTAAAACGCGGTCATCAGTAAATATTACTGCACAACGCTGATGCCCCCACAGCTATATCTTAGAACACCTGATAGATTCCGGACATCAAGCTACACCACAAACAAACTTCAAAGTCGTCTACAGAATACGAAACAGTCTTCCTAAAGGTCTACGAGTCAAACTTCTTCAAACTGTACAAACAATGACCATTCACTTGCTAAGCCCTGAACTCTGCATACAGAAGACGTTCGTTCAATCACTACACTTGCGATGAATGTTATCTCTCTTAATACCCAACAGGTATATTATATTTCTTTCTTTCTGTCTCTTCATTAGCATTATTTTGTCTTTTCAACTGTAATATTTTGCATTTTCAACTTTCTTGTTCTCTACCTCCACCCGATTTTGATTTCTACACCTCATCACCACTGTTACTGACTTGACCGACGCTCAATTTCTAGTCATTTATGTTACGTCATCCAATTTATTTGCTCAGCTTTAGTCTTAATTTACATGGCATTATTCTCTACCCCACCTCTACTTAGTCTCTCTCTACCTGAAATTCTTGTATTACCTAATTAATTTTCTGAAATTGTCAAAACTCATGTACATATACACAAACACACATACACATCACTGTATATAAATGCGACTGCATATCTATGTGAATGAATTCGCCGTTGAAAAGAGTCTCATCGCTGAAGATCTTCTCTTTTTCATAAGACTGTGTGATGCATCGAAATCTTACCCATAAATAAGTTAATACTTTAATAAAATGTCCAAGTTTTATACTTATATCAATGAGGCTAGCAATCCCATCACGCAGTAATAAATACTACTGTTACCGAATCTACAAAGCTCTAGCTGGAAGCTCCCCTATACGTCCCCATACGTAAAGGAATAAAAACAAAATGGACTGATTGGTGTTAAAATCTCAACACAGATACAAATGGCTAGTGTAACATGCTGAAAATTTCATTCTGTATCACAAGTACTGTTTTTGGAATAAAGTAAATCATTATTATTATTTAAAAAAAACATATGCCAAAACACATCATCTTTGGAGTAGATGCGATATCCGGCTCCATTATAGATAAGATTTCATTTTGATAAATCACACAGTGTTGTTATACAGTAATATTAACTGATGACCACGTTTCAAGCACAAACTATTGCCATTCATAATCATATCAAGTCACTACTCTCACAAGGTTTCAATTCATTTATATACATGAATAAAAATTGATGATTAGACATTTTAATACAAATCAGTAATATAGGATAATGTGCATTCGCAAATAATGATAATATGAGTGTTATCAATGAAATACAGTCAGTTGGGAAATAAGACGAGTGTTTTATAGTCAAAATAAGTCAATGACTTGTTACAATGTTATAATGTATGTGAATTGAAATAGAATACATTTTAAGATTATTTATTATCCTCCTCTGATTTGACTGACTGGTGGTAATAATATCTTCCATATCTCTGGTATTTGCATTGATTCATTTCTGTTGTATGTGTTGTATTGTGTGTGTAGACTGGATGAACCAGGAAGGATTCAGTAATCCAACTCTCTCGCTCTCCACCTACTTATATTACTTCTGAGGATTTTAACCTTCTTCGAACTTATTATGTGGTTGTGTGTTAATGCATGCAGTTATATCATATAAGGAGGGTACATCTGAGGCCCTGCGTAGGATTCTCAATAAAGCAGGAATCAGAATGGCACTCAAACCTATGTTAGGATATATGTTACCCACTACGAGCCATCGTCTTCTTCGATGAGTTTATGTTGGAAAAGAGTAAGGCGTAGTTAAACCAAAAACTTATCATCAGTTCAAGAAATCTCTGACAGTTCTCGAGATTTTAAGAACCAATGACTGAGAACTACTGGTGATACGGCTGGAAATTGTTCTCAGTGGCGCAGATGCATTCACTGCGTGTGATCTCTCATATTCATTAGACCCTAATTTTTTCCACACAGTTATTCTTCTTTCTTTACAGGTCTTTTTGAATAAAGCAAGAACAACAGTGGTTAGTGTAGAATGACACGGTACCATTATTTATTACGTTGGCTTCTCATCAGCTGCTTGCTTACAGCCTAAATAAATTATTATTAAGTCCATGTACAGAAAAATTCTAACATACTTGCAAATTTTATATGATGTCAGTTGACAGGAAGTTAAAAGCTTTGTGAACAGTGTTCAGGAAATAACACTTGTATAGTTTTATACAGACAATTCAAGTTTAAACAAAGTTAATGTAGGCATAGAATGGCAAAAGAGTTACGTAATAAAGATGAGAGATGCGTAAGATGATGAGGGATTAATAAATTAGGTAACAATGTACTGAGTTCAACTCGGATCTTAGAAGCAAGAGACAAGCAAAATCACATTATCAAAAGTGAGGGTGGTGAGTTTAGAGCCAAAGATTGCGTAATCAAACGAAAGAGAGAATAAGGACATCCAGTTACCAGAGCACGGCAAGGGAAGACCGATAACTGCTTCTTTCTGAACACATAAATTGGGTTTCAAGCGTTTGATAGGAATTACTTCGGAAAAATTGGGGAGAACTGAACTTTTTTGTCCATTGATAATTTTAAGAGACTCATATCAAGAAGGTGCCTGGTAATGGCACTTTTATAAGCGTTTGTTCCCCG